AAAAAAAGCTTTCCGCACAGGTACAGACATGCAGTTCACCTGATATCATCAGGACAGAGGAAAAGGCATTGAATGTTGGCGTGTGTCGAACCGAATCGAGGAAAGGGTTCCTTTTAAAACAGTAGAGAAACTTTAAGAGTGAGCTTTGTAATGAGTCGTTTTCCCACCACCCCCTTGCCCTTCTGAAATCTTCAGATATGGTCCAGGAGAATCTTCGGGTGATGGAAATGGGTAAATTAATCACCGTCTGTGGACAGATCAAGGCTTGATGGGACGAGTGGCCTCTTCATTCCCCTGCTTCCTTACGTTCTTATATTTTTCTCCTTCCAAGGGAGGCGGCGAGCGAGGGGGGGTTGGGAGCCCTTGAGCTCCCTGGAGGACAGGGGCCGGGGGGAGGGCTCCTTGGACATGCTGAGGATGGTGGTGGTGAGCGACTTGATGTAGTTCTTGGCCAAGGTGAGGGTCTCGATTTTGGACAGCTTCTTGTCGGCCTCCACATGGGGGATGACCTCCCGCAAGGCCTGGAAGGCGGCGTTCAGGTTGTGCATTCGCTGGCGCTCGCGCTCGTTACTCTCGATTCGCCGCAGGTTACGCTCGCGGACGCTGAGCGCATGCTTCCTGCGCGTCCCCACCGCCGCCTCTGCCCCCCCGCTGGGGCTCGTGCCCCGGGCAGCCCCCGCCTGTCTGCAGCTCCGGCCCCGTGCCCGCTGCCCCTCTCTCTGGCCTTTGCTGCAAGTGGAGGCGTTGGTGTCGGTCTGGGTTTGCAAGCGTAGGTCCATCTCCGAGTGGCCACCACCGCTGAACCGGCTTCTCATTGTGGGAGCTGTCTGTCTGTCTGTGTCTGGTTGTCTGTCTGCCTGACGTGAAGGGCGCTGCACAAGTGTAAGTTGTTGTTGTTGTTTGCCTGAGAAGCTCACCTCAGCTTGTGCAATCTATGCAAGTACATCCTCAGCTCCCTGAGCCAGGCACCGACTCGCTCATTCGCTTGCTCCCTCGCTCGCTCTCTGGTGCAAACGGCCGCGAGAAAGAAATGGACGTGCAAATTCGCTTCCCTCGCCGGCAAACGTGACAAACCCCACAACGGACCGACCACACGGGGCAAAAGTCACCACTTTTCTGTGCGCGCGTGTGTGTTTCTTTAAATATAAAGACACATACAAACACATTTAAATATGAAGACAAACGCAAGAGGGCGGCCAATCTATTGTACAATCACATATCGTTGTTCTCTGGATAAATAGAATTCATTGTGAAGCGAGTTAAAGCGAGGGAATGCTTTTCTTAAGGGCGATTTTTATAATAAGCAAATAATTTTTTTGAGAATGTAATAATGAATCTGCCAACCCACCCCCCCCCACCCAAAATAAATAAATAAACGATTGCCTTCATTTGGGTTTAAATGTAGATATTTCTAATTGCACAACGTTAAATGATGGCTCATTTGGAGGGCTCCCTCCCAACTGCTTTCATCATTCGCTGGCAAAGCAAGTTTTAAACTGCTCTTAGCAACTGTTCAGCAGAATTAAACAATTATTATTAAACAGCGATCGGCTCAGGCAGTCAAAACCCCTCATTTTTTTAAAAAAAAAGAATAACAAGACAGGTGCAGGGCAGGTAAATTGGCAGCAGGTGTTGTTGCAAGGTTCTGATTTTTTTTGTGTGTCTGCAATATATTTTTTTTACCCAACAAAAGCATTTCCCCCTTACCTGCATTACCCTCAGAGTGGTGGGGTGGAAGGTGAATGGTTATAGCTGGGGAGCTGGAGGGCTGGAGGATCATGTCTCGCAGGCTGAGTTTTGTACACGTACACTTTACCCTCTTCCAATGAGACGGTGGAGGGGCGGATTCTGTCTGCAAACAGGATCTGGGTTCCTCCTGTGCTCACCTGTGGCTCCAGACACACAGACACAGTGATGGGCATCTCTGGTGTAAGCGCACCTGGAGGCGCGCACACACACACACACAGAACTCTTAACAGGTGCTTTATGCTGCAGCACCAATTGGTATTGTCAGGAGATATCAGAAGTCACACTACCAGGTGTCATGCAACGAGGTATTAGTTGTGCACTGGTCACAGAGAATTGCAGAGTTCCTCCAAAGCGATAGAGCCGACTTTAGCAAATTGTGTTTGTAGTAATTGCATTTTGCAATTAACCCCCAAATAACCCATCAGTTTTCATCTCCTGGTCCTCACATGAGAGAAAGTGGATAGAAACCTTTCCAATTGGGTTCTGGGAAGATCCTAAGTTTTCACAAACCAAAGTAATTAGAATAAAAATCAAGAATGCTATAGGGAGAATTGAATAGAGGGAGTGCTTATGGGGGTAATTAGGGAGCGGGTTCTGATATCTCCTTTTAACACCATTTGGTTCTTTGGTTTTATAGGGGAAATGTATTCTTTATTTGTGTTGCCCTTTAGGGTGAAGAAATATTTTCTAGATTCATACTTGGGAGTTCTGTAGCTTTTAGTGGGTTGAGCACTCGCCTCGCAAGCAAGAGGACGTGGGTTTTATTCCCGGGGGTGGGGGGGGGGTGATGTGTTGGGCAAGTTTCCTTACTCCACACACCTCTGTTTACCGAGAAGTAAGTAGGAACCCGGATGTTAGTCGATTGGCGAATTGCTTTTCTGGGGATAATAAATCCCTTCCAAAAAAAAAATTTGGTTACTCGATCCACGACTATTTGCGGGACATTGCTGTGTGCAATTGGCTGCCGCGTTCGCCCACAAATATACATTCAATTCACTTTACAGTTTATTCTGTGAAGTGTTTTAGATGGCTCAAAGATGTGACAAGGGCACTATATCAAATGTATAGTGCCCTTGTCAAAATTATTTTTTTTATTATTTATTATTAATTTATAATTTATTATTCATGATTGACTCTTCAAGTCTGAAACCTGGCAATTTCTAAATAAGGAATCCTACATGAGAATTAATTCTGAAAACTGGAAAGTACCTTACAGAGATTTACCTTACCTGCATTAACTGCTGTAGAAATAGAATACAGAGTGGAGTTCCCACAGCTAAGAATGGTGCAATTTTGCTTACTGAAAATTTCCTGTTTGCAAGTTGTAGTTATGAGATACTTTTAGATACTTGTCTGCATTGCCCTATTTTAAGGGAGGAATAGTTATTTAACTACCTTTTAAAATCCCTTTATAAACACCAGTTTGATCCCATTGTCACTGGAGTCTATCTTATGTTGATAGCTTACAATAGTGATGATTTTGCTACTTCTGAGGCAGAAGGTTGTGGGTTCAAACCCCACATCAGGTATTTTTTAACCACTTTAACCTAACACATTTACATTTAAGCCTAGAATTTGAGTTCCATATCATTGCCCAACCACACCTTTATTAGGATAGTCAGATGTTTTACAAATCTACATCATGAAAATGTACTGACTGCAGGGCAGAGGTATAATACATTTGACTTCAATATCCATGACATCGTAATGGGGTTGAAAATGTTTCTGCTTTCTACCCAGCAACCTTTCTACAGCAAGGTAGCTCAACTTGGTCAAATAACTTGAGGCTCATTCACGAATAGCCACTTGGGCAAGATAGACGAGATCTATTGTCGTCCATGAAATGATGCTTCAGTTCAAGTCACTTTCTTAAGCAGAATAGGTGAAGATTTGCTCTATTACAAGTTGGGCCTTGATAAAAAATTCACAATAATTGGTTAAATTGCAGTCATGGTATTTATGGTAGAAACACTGAACTGCTTGATTGGGGAAATACAGTAGCTATAAAAGCTGGGGGATAAGAAGCAGAAGAGGCTAGAGCTACATAAGTAAATCCTTCATTGGAGAAAGACGCCAAGCACTAAGCTGAACTGGTCTTTAACCTTGCATTCTAGTGCTTCCTGGGGAAAAAATGTACCAAATATTGCACGCTTACCCACGTGTAGAAATCCATTCCCATCAGACAAGTCTGGGATAATACTTTCAGTTGAGAATTTTTCTGAGAAAGTTATGCTTGTTTAATAATTTTATTTCTGCAACAATTTCAAACTGTTTTAATGTGCACTTACCTGCCTACCTTTCCTTGTAATGTGAAGCTTGAGTTACACTGGGGGTTTTAGGCTTTATATATTCTTTTAACATTTTGGTAAGTTAAGACCACACATTTCAGGAATATTGAGTTAATATTTTAGAATCTTCACTGTCCGGTTTCATGGTTTGATTTTATCCTTGTAATCATAAAATTACCAACAGGTGACTAAACATTTAGCTTCGAAGATGCACCCAGATAACATGGAGCCAGTTTGTATTTTCATACCAAACCTCACACTCAACTGTCCCCTTTGATTGAGTCATTAATTTGGGTCCCACTTGTCTTGAGTCAGGTGGACACTAATAAATCTCTGGCTCTATCTAGTAATTTGTAAGAAAAGTGGAGTTTTTCCTCCCAATTATCCTAGCTTTTATTTTACTCTCACCAAAATTCACTCCAGAAATTTCAATTAACTGGCAACTCAATATTGTTTGTAGGTCATCGTTGGTACAAATTACATGTTTGCCAAAATAACATCCACTTTATTCCTAATTCATCTGTGAAGCACAAGAGAATATTTGTTTGTTTATATGAATGAAGTTGATCAGAATACCAGCACACCCAGCAATTCAAACTAGTGGCAATGGGATCTGAACCACCAGGCAGATAGGGCCTCAGTTCAGATCTAAACCAAAGGAAAACACCGTCTCGTTGCACCACTTCTCAAATTTAGTGCATTTAATTTTTTTAAAAAAATCCAACTTCTGACGGTACTTGACTGGCTATATAAAAGATTATTTTGCATATCACCTAATGCAACGAACATTTAAAGTTGATTTGCATAGAGCAAGGTTTTTTTAAAACCCCGATTATATGTAAATTTCTAAGATCTTTGAAAGATGTCTCTACAGGTGAGTGAATAATTATTGTAACCAAAAAAAATACTATTTCATGTCAACATTTCGGAAAAGGCTTGAAGGCAATTTAAGAAGTCAAGTTGTGTATGTAAATTAATCCTTTTGACTTTATTCAATATTAAATATCCATAGTGCATTTAAATTACAAACAGTTCATTGAATTACACTATGCATGGAAATCAAAGTACAAATATTACATATCAAAAATGTACACATCTTGTGGACAGTGACCTGATTTCTTTAACTGTGATACGTAGTCAATTTCATAATATTTGTATTAAATTACAAAAGGAAACCTTGTACTTATGACTGTTACATCATTTCCCATTTACAGACATTTATATACATCCAGTACCATTAAACATTAAGTTACACTTCCCAAATGTGCAAGATAAAGCAATGCATTGAACAAAACAATCTGGTATTTTCATCAATGATTTAAAGTACATTTGAAATAATTTAGAACAAGCTAATGAAGACAAAAGGATACTTTTTTTAATGAAAAAGATCTTAACAATATTTACAAATAAACTTCAATTTAAGCATGAATTCCTACAAATTCCAACATAAAGAAAATATTTTTGGAGCATGCACTGTTTGATCATCGAGGCACGTTTCTATGGCTCACTTTTACAAATGAAGCTGACAGTGGTCTAAGTTGCAGGTTGAGCTAACCGGTGCTCTTAATGAATGAATACATGAAAAATAGAATAATTAGTTAATTACTAATCAGGGGCACATGGAATTCCCCCTGTACAGTGGTTAGCAAAACTCACAAATTAGACCCATATTACAACTCTGAAAATAATTTTAATTTCTGTAGTCATATGCATATTAAAGTATGCATTTGTACTGTTTTAGATTTAGCATAACTGCAGACATGCTAGTTTAAGAATGCTCAGTGCTGTGGATGGTGGAGTGGGGGAGAAATTTGTTTAAAACAGATCACCCCAACAGCTCTACTGTTCTGTAAACCCCAATGAGTCAACTAGAAAAAACAACAGACTCCAAAGTCAGGCTGAGACTAAAAGTGATGGTGTGTAATACAGTATTGATCTGTTGCATACATGCAAAGTGTATAGATACAAAAATATGAAGCAAGGAAAATAACAATTACCCCCTTCTTCAGCCTACTGTAGCATGCAGGGGAATCTAAAACAACTGCCATACGTTCAATGTTGTTTCTTCCCTAAACATCTCAGGAAAATAACAAATTGCTGGACTGGCACATATATTTAAAAAAATGCACTGGGCTAAGTAAAAACAATTCCTGCCATGAGAAAAATACACTGGACTACACTGACAAACAAAGCTAAGAATGTTGCAGAGAGATCAGCTGGACTTTTGATAAAAGCAAAGTTATCAAAGTTCTGTGTCCCTGTATAACAAACTATTTTAGTTTAATCTGGGACAAATCAAAACAAGGGATTTTGTAGTGCCTATCCAAGGTGTTTATACATTTGATAGTGAACATAGGTTATAAATTGAAATATTGATTTGCTTGTTTATAGAAATCACAGCTTCGTGAAAAAAAGTGTTTCCTTATTGTGCACAGACCATCTACCAATACCGGGGAAAAACAGATTCTAATGTTAACATTTAGCTAGTACCTCAACATTGCAATGGACTGTTTGATCCCAACAAGCAACATTTCTATTCTAGGAAAAAGGAGAGTCAGTGATGTAACCAAGGCAGCTTTAAACAATATCCCCAATATGTTCAATTATAAGCGCATGAATGCTGCATTCAGTGCTATACCGAACTAGCAAAATGCTTCCTGTATCAGTTGTCCTTTCTGATATATAATTGAATGGACCACAAAGCTGCTGTACTCTTCCTGTCATGTGACAAAAGAAATCCCATCATCTTCAAATCACTAGGTAGGGCAAGAGAAACAGGCCTGCGTTATTTAGCTACTTACAAGTACAAAAGCATGGCTGGTTTCCTTAATATGTAAACTGTTGTATTGGTGCGAGTTACAAATCATAACAATTGCACTAAATTGTTTTAAACAATTAGAAAAATTAAATTTCTTACTGTTAAACTGTCCTTGCCAGTAATATAAAATAATTAACAACTGAACAGGCCCCTTTTCTACAGGAGAAATAGGACTCTTGAGGTTTATCACTTCATCTGTTGCCACTTCCTCTGTCCACAAAGCCAGGACAGGGTCCATAAATATCCAAAATAGACATTCATCCCCACCATTTACTGAAATAGATTGGCTACCATTATGTGGGGGGTAACAGTTATTAGAACAAGAAGCAAGCTTTAAAGACATTGCAATTATTTGCAATAACCCATCTTTTTAGATTTGATTGTGGTAATCCCACACTCAGAGCCCAATTCATTCTACTTTTCCCTTAAAATAAAAGATACATTCAGAAACAGTATTAAGTGATGCTCAATCGAGGAGTCATGCAGATAAAAGAACAGAGGAGAAACCTTGATTTATGAGTTAATTGATCTCAGCCAGTCTCCTGCTTTGTACCCTCACATTACAAATATATCTATTCATGATTTAAGGTTCAGGGTTCAGATCACATATACATAGATCACTGCTGCTCACAATGCAGAGAATCACTTGAAGTCACCATCATATTTAAAACAACGATTGTCAAGTGAAACACTCAATATGTCATCCTTGCATTACTATTTTGGTACTCACCAAAGTGTTGTCACTGCACAAAAATATTTATTTCAGATGTATTCACTATTTGTAGATGCACTCGCTACCTTTGAGAACTCACCACTCAAATGGGTCTCAGAACAAGGGGAGCACTGGCAATTTTGGAACTAGGTATTTGAACACTGTAAATATATCAATGTTAGTTACAATATAGCTAACACTGTTATATTGGGTGTCACTATAATGTAAATCAATATCCCCAAACAAGTTTTTTTTTAAGAACCAAACATCTCTCTCAACTGTAGTGTTTGTTTTACACCTATTTGTGCCATCTCTAGTGTTTTAACATGAACATCTTGCATTGATTCAGATTTCTTCAATCAGGGCAGGTTGACTACAGCCTTTTCCAGTTCGTTATTGCTGTACACATATTCTGTACCCCATTCCTACCTACAGAGCAGCAGATGGGTTATTGAAAGGCAATTGGAATAATCTAAACATATGCATTTGAAAATGACAAGCCATCTTAAAAAGCATGTTATAGGCATCCCAATTCATGTTCCTACTCACTTTGACCAGTGATATTTGTGCATGATCATTTAAAGTAAGTTACACTAAACCAGAATACATTTTAAAAAATCACTCGACGATTCTACATAAATAGCAAACTGTCGATTCTGGAACAATCAACATCCTTTCAAATCTAAATATTTTGTAGGAAGCTTTGCAACATGGAATTTAACTTATCAGTTTTGGGACATTTTATTTCTCCTCCAAAAGCAAACATTTCCTATTTAACTATGTCACGTTATACAGAAAATTGCAGATAAAACTATCAATTTGTTTTAATCTTCATTAACAATATTTTAAAGAAAAAATAGCAATCAATTAACAATCCTATGTTCTGTCAAACTGAAGTTATAGGTAATGGATTCTAAAGGGGACTGGAAAGTCTTGTGTACACAGGCTGGTTCATGTTTTAAAGCCATTTTATACCCACCTTCGTCAGAGACTAATAGTTGTTCAATAGTGATAGAATTTAAGATGTATATTACATTTAATATTACAGTTCTAACATTTAATACTCCTTTGTGAATTTACAATGACCTTGCTTTGCAAATGTAGGTAGATCCTTTTTGATAAGGATTTAAAATATCACATGATTTGTTATTTTTTACATAAAGTTAAGTACCACCCCCTAGAGAATCTGGTTTTAGTCCTTGTCTCCATCTTCACTGCTTCCTACAAATAAAAGAAGAAAAAACATTAAATAACATAAGATTTAAAAACTCTTGACAACAAACTAATTTGGTAGTGTTATATTCTATATTCTTTGCATGTTGAGGTAAAGGGAGGTTGCTCACTTAACTAGATTCAACTATGTCTCCCCTCTCTTTCTTTCAAGAGAATGGTAACTAGTTACTGCATAATGTTACAGCAATATAATCCCCAGTTACATTGCTTGATACCCAACCTGAATCCTAGATTTCATAACTATAGATTTTTTCTAGAGGGTGTTTCACCTGCCTTAGCCAAACTGTACATCAAGGAGCTTGTGTTAAACAGCATTAACACCGTGCAGCATACATCAGAATTGGATTATGAAGGCGAGGGAGAAATATTGGAAGGAAAAAGATTGTTTGACCAATGCAGAAGAAACTTGCTTTCTAATGGAAATCTTATAATTGCAAATCCTAATTAATACTGTACTGTAATACTGGGAATTCAATGATTGCATTGACAAAGGGCAAGAAAGACTCCCATTTCCCAAAGCGAGCATACCTCACCTTGAACACAACATGAAACACTACAGTAAACAAAGGACTAAATATTTCAGTTCCATAATAAAATATTGAGTTTCCTTAAGAGGCCTCAGTTACTAAATGCACATCTATAAGTTGCTAAAAGAAATTAAGCATTTGTCCAAACTTTGATGAGATTTTTGTGATAATACAAGAATAGGTGTATTGTATTTTGAATTTTTTTAAAATACAACTTCTCACCTTCAAGGTACTTCATAATGATCAAATAATTTCTTTTGTACATTGAATTTTCTTGTTTCTAGTTCATTCTGTTCAGTAAGTTGCAGATACCAAACACCTGGTGCACTCACACCATGCACACATGCTCCATTCACACTGTTCCAATCTCACAGCCTTGATAAACAAACATTTTTATTACCAACTACTCACAATTTTGCAACAAGCAACCGTCTGTATAAACTCAAAATAGACACACGTATGGACCAACTCTAAAGGGCAGTGAATGTAGGTTATTCCAATATATTTTATGTTATAAATCTATTGAAAATATACTGTGACAATCTTATTCTGCATGTTTTATAAAAGTGAAACAAAGGTGTGTCCCTTGTTTATTTGTTATACAACTGGTCTTAAATGCATTCAGAGGACACTTCAATGATCAGCAAAAAAGCTACTTTCCAGCCAGTTAAGGCTTAGGACTTACAAAATGTACCCATAAACTTTTAATCTGTTTTAATTCCTGGCCAAATTGAAAGTTTTGCTGTGTTTATGCTGCAGCAAATAGCTACAAGTAGTCTGGAAACAGTACGAGGACAGCAAAGTTAAGCAGAAGCTTATTTCCAGTTTGTTCCCCCCTGTTCATGAAGGCAAAATAGAAGTGGAGTTCGCATAACATGTCCAGCTTCAGCTTCCAGTTCAAAACAGCTAACTGAATGTTTACAGCTACACATGAAACCTAAAGCAGATGAGTCCTGTTGTTAGTCTCAGTTGAGCAACAGATGTGCTTCCTCTTAACCATAACAAAATCGTTTGCTAATCCCAGTGTAAAATGGCTTGCTAAGTGGTAGGTCTAAAATTAAACTGATAGAATAGTCCTCAGTTAATAGATACTTTAGGTAAGAAAACACATCATGTCAAGCACATACAGAAGCAGGCTTATAATTTTTACTTATGATTTTATATATTATAAATTAATTTTTAGTGCGTCCATATTTATCAAAGCGGTTATTAATTTGCGTTGTGTAAATTAAGCAATATTCCTCTGTAAAAAGCATTCAGCAGAAATAATTGAAGTTAATGGGTTTCAATTAATAGATTAACCTATTTATTCTGTAAATAATATACCAGGCACATCTTTAAGCTGGATGTATTCTTCATATATTTATGTCGGAAAGCAAACCATTGTACAGAAATCATAGCTCTTCCCAATTTAGCCCCTTATTTAGCCCATGAGGAACGCCGTCTCGTGCTGTGTCCCTCAGGGCTCTGTCCTCGGTCCCCTCCTTTGCAATATCTATATGCGCCCTCTTGGTGACATCATCCACATGCATGTGAAAGTTGACCCCAACTGTACCTCCCTTAAATCCAGGACCACTGCTGTCAGCCATCAAGTCCTGGCTGAGAGCTAACTTTCTTCAATTGAACATCAACAAGACCGAGGCTCTCCTGCTTGGCTCCTGTCAGCGCCTCCTCACCTCAAGTGCTGACAGCATCACCATCCATGGTTGCACACTCCACCTTACTAAGCCATTCCAGAACCTTGTTCGACTCTTACCTATCCTTTCTACCCCACATCTGTGCCATGACCCACTCTGCCTTGCCCCACCTCTGCAACATTGCCCAGCTCCGCCACTCACACCGCAGGCCACCAAAACCCTCATACACACTTTCATTATATTGAGGTTTGACTATGCAAACTCCTTGATTGTCGGCCTCCCCAACTCCTCCCTCCCCAGGCTGCAGATCATCTAGAACTCTGCAGCCATGTCCTCTCCCACACTAGGTTCCGTGACCCTATCACCCTCATCCTTGCCCAACTCCACTGCCTTCCCATCACTCAGAGGATACAGTTCAAGATCCTGGTCCTCACCTTCAAAGCCCTCCATGGTCTTGCTCCCCCCTACCTCTCCGACCTCCTAGCTCCCTACCAACCTGTTCGCTCCCTCCGCTCAGTGGGCTCCGGCCTGCTTCACGTCCCCTGCCTCGCTCGCCTCATTATTGTCGGGTGGGCCTTCTACCACTCTGCCCCCACCCTCTGGAACTCCATCCCACAGTCCCTCCATCTCACCCCCTCTCTTGCCTCCTTCAAAACCCGTCTCAAGACCCTCCTTTTCGACCATGCTTTCGATCATCCTGCTCCCCCCCCGCTCTCCACCCTCTCCGATCCCAATCTCCAACTCGGGTCCAAAACTCTGTCTGCCCAGCGCCTTGGGACGTCCTCCCGATGTGAAAGGCACATACAAATGTAATTTTGTTGTTGTTTTTATCCACACTGCTTCTCTTGACAAACACGGCAAAACCAGCACGCAAAGGATCTTTACCGATTTGGTTACCTCCAGCACAGACCCGATGGTCCGAACGGCTATGGGTCTCTGGAATAGTTACCTCTAGACAAAACTTCTCAACATCTTGCTCACTGCTTTCCCCTGTTCCACCCTCCATAAGCTCCAGATCATCCTGAACTCTGCAGCCCACATCTCTGGCACAGTAAGCTCTGGGAGAATCAATCCCATTGTTTCCCAGCTTGATTGGCTCTGTGTCCCCCAGCAGATCGACTTTACGTTGCTTCTATAGTGTTGCCCCATTGTACCTCTGCGACTACTTCCCCAGCTTTCCTCACTGCTCTGCCAACTCTGGCCTGCTGCAGGCCCCAACCACTGTGCCCACATTGGTAGGTGAACGTTAATCCACTTTGCCCTCGTCTTCTGGACTTCTCTTCCTTCATCACTCCCCCTCCCTTTCTACTTTCAAAACCTATTTCAAAAGGTTAATCCAATTGACGATGCCTTCAGCGAATACCTGAACAGACGTTTCTTTTTCCATACATTCTTTTGGTTGCACAGTACCATGTAACCTAAATTGCACAAATTTTAGCTTTTTAATGTAAAATATTAGCAACTAACTCGACGACAGAAGCACATACATACCTCCTTGCTCAATATCTGAATCTGTGAGATGAGTAAGGGAGAAGCTCGCAATGCTCGAAGGAGAAATAGAAAACCGAGAATAGGACGATGTGTCTGTCCACTTTTGCTCGGAGGTTCTCAAAGCCGGTGGAGGTGAAAAATACCTTGATGAGGGGGGAGGAGTGGATTTTGAGGCAGCGAAATGACCTGCTGTTTGCGTGATAAATGATGACTCATGAGAGGACATCGAGAAGTCGTCTTCCCATTCAAAACCACAACCTAAACAAGAAAAGCAATTTGGTTTTGTTTATATATTACTCTTAAATATTTTTCACTTAAGAATTTTTGGTTAGAAGTGGAAATAGGTGTATATCTGAGGTTGCAACTTAAGGGATGTCATCGAGTCATACACAAAGGAGATGTTCTTGTGTGCCCTTCATAAACTTATTCCAAATCTTACAGTCCTCATAAAAGTAATAAATAAAGGGGGCTTTATTCTGCATGTGTGCACGCTTCACCTGACCTTTTACAATTTGTAAGGTTCGCCTCCCTCCATCTCCTACCTGGACACTCAGCTTTCAAAATGCTTTTAAACATCTACCATTTTGACTGCACTTTGGCCATTTTCCTGCATCTATTTACCACCCCCACCCCCAAAAAAAACTTCAGGCATCCACTCATAATAATCATACTTACATTTAACTTAGTGCCTTATCAGGTCTTCAAGATGTCTCAAAGCACTCCACGGAATATAGTGTAAAGTAAATTGACTGTATATTTTATGGGCGAAACGTGACAGCCAATTGATCACAGCAGTGTCCCACAAACAGTTGTGGATTGAGTGACCAAATTATTATTATTTTGCCAAATGAGCATGTTACACACTGCACAGTGTTCACAAAGTCCTGCCCCCACCTGGTCGGTGTGTGTTTTTTTTTCTTACTATGAAAGGTTCTTTTGAGGTCATCTTTGATCTTTTGAGATGTTTAACCTATGTGAAAAGCGCTATACAAGTGAAAGATATTGTTCGATTCTACATTTCAGGCCAGTTAATACAGAACAATGAACTGTAGATTAGTCATGTCTAGCAATACAAACAATCATACCGTCTTCATCAGTGGAACTCTCGGAGTTTGAGAATCTACTGGAATAATGGAAACCAGATGTTGCGATAGGACTGCCAGAGTCAGAAACCTGACTATTTTCACCTGCTGAATGCTCTCCTAATTCTTTGGTTGGAGTCTCCTTAGAACCAAAAAACAATCAATCATTCAGATTACCATCTATAGCAATTTCTCAATACAATAATTACACATTGCTTTTATTATCTGACCACCGTGCTACAGTATGAAATGCCGTGACTGTGAAGCTAATGGTGAAGCTTTCTGACTCGCTACTAGGAAGATATCAATTGAGAAAGATTCACCAAAGTGATTTAGTTTCTCTTCTGTTAGCTTTGAGGAGGAAGAACAATGACCGTCATTACTTTGGCCTCTCACGTGAGCAATGGAATCCACAGGTAATGGCTCACAATCACTGAAGTGATTGAGGTCGAATTCTATACATAGTATTGCAAGAACAGAAAGCATCCATTTAAGAACACAAAGCAGAGAATGTTATTCAGTCCATTAAGTGCACTCTTTCCACAGATCACACAAAATCTTCCAGTGCAGACTCCACAACCATCTTCTTGGAGAAAGTGCATAGATATCACTCATTGAGCAAAATCTCAAAAAAAATCAAGTTTTTAAATTAATATTCACATCTACACAATACAACCTGAAACCACTACCCTCCACAGATGATGTTCTTCCTCCTCCCCCAAGACCCAGCAATCGGTTAATCTAACCAATTAACACGAAAAGATTCACCAGCCAATTTATTAAATCATTATTTACCTGATCAAACAGGAAAACAGTTACATCATCAAAGAAAGAGACCATCTTCTTTAATCTTGTGTTTTTCTCAACCGCCTTTAGAGAACCACCAGGCTTGGATGCAGTGATTTTGAGTAAACTTTTCAGGGACCTTCCATCATCATTTTCAGTCACCACAATCGGTACAGGATGTGCTGCATCATCTTCACTCTCTGAACTGGGACTATTAATAGAGAAACTTCTGTAGTCATCCTCTGAATCGTCACTGTTTTCATCTTCTTCATCTGCATCTATTCCATCTTGTTCCTCTGATGGGTTGAAACATTCAGATTCATCTAACCTGCCAAGATACCGTCCTTCAATATCAGGTTCCTTCAGCCTATTTCCTTCATTACTATAAGACAAAGTTTCTTAATGTCCTTTTCAACAATTATTTCCAAATCCTCCTTCGTATGTTCAGAAAGCAGAGAACCAACGGCTTTGAAGTCAAACAGGCCTCCCGGCACGGATCCTGATGCACTACTGTTAACCTCATCCAAATCATCCAGACTTTCATCACATATTTCCTGCTTAGTTAAATAATCTCCAGTATGAACATTAGTTGGAAATTCTCCTTTGTGATGTGCAGGATGCACTTGTGATCCATTATTCCTTTTTAAGTTCTCTTCTAGTGCTTGGCTTGATTGTTCATCAAAATCCAAACTGTTCAAAACATTATCATGACTTTGATCAGAGGTGAACTGATTAATCTTATAACTGACAGCACATGGAAGGTTGGTTTCCTTATTAAGCTTATCAGCATTCTCACTATCCATTCTTTTATCTAGTTCAGAATCATTATCAGAGAAATAAGCAGAGTCTCGATGAGAATTCTGGTGACCATTAACTAATGCATTCGAGGCCACCTCCCCGGCAATGGCTTCTACTCCTACTTGTCCATCTTCTTTCGAAACTGTAATGAGCTGATCAGTAGGCGAAGTGTTTGGGAATTGGTCATCAGGGACACTGAGGGTGGATGATGTTGGAACAGCAGTTGGATTTGAGCACTGAGAAGTCCATTCAGGAGATTCTAGATTTTCGGTTTCATAGCCACTGTCAGGTTGCCTAAGAGGTGGCTTTAGTTTTTCAGAAACTGTACTTTGTGTTTCTAAAGCCCCCAACACTCCATGTATCTCCAGGGAGTCTAAAGAATCTGGTGTTTCCATGGACTGTTCTGAATTGAGTTGCATCAAAGACATACTACTTTCTACAGGACTAGTTTGATTCACTAAATCGGAAGAGGACATGAGAGCCAATGAATCTACATTTGTAAGACCAGTGGAGGGTTTAGATGCAATCTTTTCTGGTATTTCTACAGATAAGTGACCTGAAGACATGGGGACTAATAATTCAGGACCTTTAGAACCACTCAAGATTTCAGATACACCAATATTTGCTAGTGTTTGCTCAAACAGTGAAGGAGTAGCTGATATTTCATTAGTATTTTGAACCAGTTTACTTAATGTATTTTCATTTGTGCCAACTGTACACAGAACTTTACTCAAACCAGGAGCATTAACATTTGAGGTGCTTATTTCAGTAGCTACCTTCTGCGTTGCTGATTTGGTTGCGGTAGCTTCAGCTCCGCTTTCCTTTGTCATCCCACAAATGAGATCTTCTGGAAGGCTTTGCACTTTGGCGGTATTGCACACATTAGCAGCGGCACTTTCACTGCACCGAGCAGGTTCTTGGCAGCGAACATGAGGCAAAGTGACATCATCGCATTTGTGGATGAAGCCATCAGTAGTGTCACATTCTGACCCTGAGGTATCATACATTATACATTCTTTATCTAACTTCTGACTAATCTGTTCTTTACCCTCACTTATAAAAATGGAAGGCAACGGTACTTTTTCTAACAAAGGCTGTACAGACCTGCCACCGCCATGCTCTAGATCACTGGTTAACGTCTGGTCAGCAGTGACTTGTGGCATAACAGAAGGAATGCCAATGTCCATTAAAGTGTTGGATTTATTTCCTAAATGTTCTACCCTCAAGTCACTGCCAGTCTCACCTAAGGGTGAAGAATCCAGTAAAAGTTTATTTTCTTTCAGGAAACGGAAATTAGAAGACAGCTTTTCTGCATGTAGTAATCCCATATTACCATGATCAATAAAGTTCTCCATGTAAACCAGGTTTGTTTCATCTTCTAAAAAGTGATCAGGGATCAATTCAAAAGATGTCGATTGGATTAAGGACTCCATGGGAGTTTCTTTGCCCGAAACTAGAACAGTTGTATTTTTTCCTTTAGGATCATTATGTTCAGGTAGATCACGCAGTATGATCTGATCAGGCTTCAAACAGACTCCATTTAAACCTATGTCTTCCATTCTACTGTCACAAAATATATTTGTGTGACAAGGACTTTCAGCATTACTAGAAGCATATGAACCAAACAAACCTTCATTTATATCAGAATTTGGGAAGCCAGTATTGTAGTGTGGGAAAAAATCTATATCTGTACTCGATTCATCATCCATGTCCCTAAGATTCAAGAGTTGTGAATCCTTAGTCAGAGGAACTTGTTGGTCTCTCTGATTTGGACGGTCTAAAGTTTCATCATCATCATCAAGTTTACTTTCACCTTGTTCCTCCAATTGTATATAGTATTCACCTCCAACTGAAGGATTTTGGACATCAAGAATAGGGACAATCCCTGGTATAAGTGGAGATGAAACTAGCTGGCTTCCATCATCCCGTGCTCTGGTGAGTGCTTCATCTGAATTACTTTGAACTGAGAACCCATTTTTCTCAAAAGCAACTGCAGGAAAGAAGATGCTCTGGTAATTTACTTTAGCTCCTTCATTTCCATGCCTGTGGTCTTCAAAATGGTCATGTTTTGCAGTCTCCCACACATACTCAAAGCTTAGTCCTTTACTCGTTTCAGTAACTGTGAGGATATCATCCATCTCCTGGTTTAGTCTATCAGCTACAAAATGTTCCAGGATTGGAAAGGACGAATTGCAAGTCATAGCTTGCCGGCTGCTAGTGTTGGGCTTCAGTGCATTCCACCTTATTTCAAAGTCATCCTCACATTCCTTCTGGCTCTGCATTCGAAGATAGGTGAGCAGCCTATGAATCTCTTCTGATGTTGGTCTCTTTTCTGGAGTTAGCCAACAGAACTGCAGAACTTCATACCTGCAAGACAGATACTAAATATTAGAAACACAACTATTTATACTAGTATTACAAGATCATGCAGCTACATTTGACTGAGCATTAGTGTGCAATTAACCCAATTCTTTGAGCCGTCTCGAAGACTTGATAAGGCGCTATATCAAATGCAAGTATTTTTATAATTCATTGAGCCCAATAGTCAGTAACTTTTCCAATCTTACATTCAATCCAATTTCACATTTCAGCACAAAAGATTTTTAGGTATTAAATAAGGAGAAAAGTGAAATGAGGTTGAAGTACAGTTTTCATTCCTTCCTTCTGAGGAAGCTTTGTTCCCATTAAGCAATTCCTGCAAGCCTTCCCTAAACAGCATTTTGCACCCTGAGAAAAACACACACCAGAAACTCGCGACGTTGGGATTTCTACATTTATCTTTAATGCATTAGCTCTTTTACAGGAAATGACCTCGTCTCATTGTAAATCCTCAATTATTTAAAAACTAATTGGAAATGCTTTAATATCAGTTACACTGTTAACAGGAGCACTTTGTGCTAGTTTCATTCCTCATTGCTTTGAAACCAACTTCCGTTCAAGCCACAAGCTGTTTTCTGCTTGCACTCTGCAATGTACTCATGGGATCAGATTTGGATGTGCACCAACAAAAGAGATCTTGATGGCCCAACAAGCATTGCGCATTTATGTATTAGGAGTCAATGCAGTGTAGGGCGTCATTATATTGCTGTCACAACTCATGCACGTGCCATATGGTTTCTTAATTGGAGTACAAATGTAGCTGTCATGAACTGAGAACACACAATATCGTATCAATATAACCCAGTATAAGATTAGACCTCACTTTAGCTGCTAACAAACATCTAAATTATTCAATGTTTAAGAGCGTTACTTGACAAAAAGGTACCAAGGTTACATCACAGTTAGTCATTATATTAACCTCTACTTTATTGATTATTTTCAAACAGAAAATTTTGACATGATACCCAATGACTCTTTAGAAGTTTAGATTCTAAATACATACATTTAGGTATTTTATGTCAAGTTAAATGTCTCACGCAGCTTGGTTTCCTAGCAACAGATTTTTTCATCTACAGAAGCCCTATGACAAACACAGGTATAATAACAGTGGGATGTTTTTTTTAAGCCAAATATATAAAGCTATAAAACCAATCAATTACCATCTGTCAGAATGAATCAACTCCAGCTGTGGTTTAGAGAGTTTAATTTGCTGTTCCTGTATAACATAGATTAGCACCTCTTTGTCAGACAGCTGACCGTAAGGTTGGCAGGCATTCTCAAACAACTCCCACAATACGACACCCAATGACCTAAAAAAAAGGGTAAAAGTGGAAATGTCAGATTTGGTTACTCAACAATATAATTCTGTCAAAGACATTAAAAAAACACATGTAACCAATGTCACAATTTTACCAGAAGACAGATATATTTAAATTTTAACATTTGCCTTTCTGTACAATCAAAGGCAGCTTAACTATGTGACATTCTATATGCGTGCTTGACTAAAGCATTGGAAAAAAGGCCACTCAGCTCATCTTCCACTGACTGTATATTGGCTTTCAGTCTTCTGATAAAGGATCATCAGAACAACAATTTTTCAGTTATTTATTTCAGAACATTGACAAAATACTCCAAATGACTCCCACAGAAAAAAGGGCAAGAAGTTAGATATTGTATCGTTGGACTATAAGTAATTTCTCTCTTCTGACCCCTCCTAACAAACGAATGAACTGAAAACGAGGCATGTCTTTGCTGTTTCAAACAGCATTATTGTTGCTGCTGGTGATAGTAAGGATTCTTACAGTAAGAGAAAGCAGGGGAGAATTTAAATGATGGTGGCTAAAACATCTTTAAAGGATTCATTCCTATAGGCTTTTGGTTGATAGCGCACCTTTCATACTGCAGTTGATAGCTGAACTTGCCCATAGTGCAGCGGACAGAGAATTCATAGGCAAAAAGTATTTAGCAGCAATGAGTATAGGCTTACCAAATATTACTCTGTTTCGTCTGTTCTGCTATTACCATACTCCCATAGACATCACCTACAAGCTCAGGTGCAATCCAGCGCAGAGGGATATACTGCCCATCATCGCTTCCAACATAATCCTCCTAGTTTTTGTGGAGGGGGGGAAAAGACAAGAAAAGCACCAAGAAATCATTCAGAAAAATACATTTGCTCACATTTTAACAGATTGTCCATTCTGCAGGGAATTAAACAATTCTACAACAAGGAATTGTATTGCATTTGTCTTGCAGAACATATAATAATCCTTGCATTTAAATATAGCGCTTTTCACGTCTTCTAGACGTCTCAAAGCGCTTCACAGAATATACTGTAAGTAAATTCGGCATATTTGTGGGCGAAACGTGGCAGCCAATTGCACACAACAGTGTCCCACAAACAGTCTTGGATTGAGTGACCAATCGTTTTTTTGGGGTGGATTATTATCCCCGGAAAAGTGATCCGCCAATCGACTAACAACCGGGTTCCTACTTACTGCTAGGTAAACAGGCAGGTGGGGTAAGCAAACTTGCCCAACATTTCACCCTGCTGGGAATCGATCCCAGGTCTCTCACTTGCGAGGCGAGTGCTCTAACCACTGAGCTATAGGGCACCATATGCATTTGTATCCCATGTCACAATATAAACATATTTTGCTTTTAAATTCTGTTTGCACACAGCCATTTTACATTTATGTAGGAAAAGAAAAGGGAAATTATTTCCACAATGTGCAGTACAATAATTGCAGCACAAGTTCTATCCCTACATTTTAATTCTTCTGCCTACACTGAGCTCGGTGAGCATTTACATAGATATCCTAACAAATTATTTTTTAAAAACTTAAAATGATCATGGTGGTCTGTTGGGTGCCCGAAGGTGACTGAGGAAACGGTTATACAGTAAAATATTTCAGATAAATACCCAGTTCCCACACAATGCCAATACATTGGTAACAAGTACTCAAATTCAGGGAAAGCTCTCTGCGGCAACCTTATATATAATCTGAAAATGCATTTGCACTTCTTCTGCAGTCTCTTATTACAAGAAACAAATTGCACCTTTATTTTAAAATGTTTAGCTTATGTAGAAAGAATATAAATACAGATAAGGTAAAGTCTGCTGACAATTTTACTCTGCCCAGATTCATCCTCACCAGATACATTTATACACGTCATCTCACACGTCACTCTAATCACTTGCAATAGATGACCTTTATGTACCCTTGGTTGGAAAATAATATCTGGTCCCAAGAGGCAATGGCTACCACCCCATCAATTTAAGACTAGCCACATATTTTCAAGGATTAGCAATCCGCGTTTTCTGTGAATGGTCAGTACCAACAGGACATTTTTTGGTATTCAAGCAAAATGCAAGGGAAAAGAGCACCATCTATGAACTACAATATTGACATTTAAATCCCAGAGAAAAAGAAAGTTATGACATTCGCACCCCTGAAGATTTCTTCCACAGCAAAGTTTCCATATCGGAGACCTCATTAAATTTTATTTTTCTTAGTTACTGCAATCAAACATATGTAACCTCTGACACCTACATAGGATTTTAAAATAACATTTTTGAAAAAAAACAATATTTGTTCAGTTATTCTCTACAGGGCATTCCTTGGTCAATTTGTATAGTGCCAAATTTAAGTTATAAAATGTCTTATGCCAAGAGCAATGCAGAATTTAGCCTTCAAATCACATAAGCTGCTTTTAATTTGCTCAGCTTTAAGATGAGCACTGAAAGACAAGCGTGAAAAAAATGAAGATATTTAAACCACTTACCCTGTATCTGCTGAGCCCTATTCCATAGTCACCGACTTTTACAGTCAAGTCTGCCGTGAGGAAACAGCTTCGTAGTGCTAAGTCACTGGCAGGATGGAGACGGAAGCAGGAAGCAGGAATGCACAAATCGGAAAGGCGAACAGGAGAAATAAATAAAATGTCAGTCAGAGCTCCGAGGCACATTGGATCGATAACTGACCCTTGGTAACAATTATCCTAATAAGGGAATTACAGGCAGACAGAGTCATCTATCCTATGGCTTATAACATCTTCTTAGCCAATCAGGATGGTTTATACAAATGTTACTTTCAAGTTTATAAGATTTCCATGATAATAATTAGTTGGTGAGATATTTAGCATTACGCATAATAGGTTTAATTTAGTCACAATGCTACATTGCAGTACTGGTTTTGTTCTGCATTACTCCCTTCCCCCACGGAAGAAAAACTGCATTGGTTTTACAGGAAGCTGCAAATGGCTTTGCAAATGATTGCATTCCCCTAATGCTGACTTCAGCAGACGAGACTCAGACAAACGTCAGTCCTGAGACATTCAAGTGCAATGTAATGACCAGTAAATGTTTTGAGAATAGTGACTTTGATTTTCATCTGCACTGCATGGTTGCATTGATCGTACTACCTATAAGAAGTTTGAAATGTACAGTTCTCAGCATTTACTTCTAGTGCTTTCATGACTATGTCGTTAGCAACAAATCACAGACCCACAAGGTACTTCCATAGTGCTAAGCGATATTACATAGAAGGTCAGAATCAGCATCTCCCAATGACATTAGAAGGCAAACAGTTCACTTTCCAGCCTCTCAACATTTCACATTAAGTGCTAAGTGTCAAGAGTATCGAACAGAGAGCAATTCCATCTCTTCCCCCATGTTTAGCATACCTCCATCTACGAATGAGCTCCAAAGAATGAAGCGATTTTGAACTATGTAGAATCAAAAGGAATTGCCTGAAATTTTCATATTTATTTTTGTTGACTTGTAAAACAAGATGACTTCTAATGCAAATACTCGAGGCTTCATTCGTATTAGTATATACAGTACAGCATTTTGGTGTTTTTCCCAGTAAGTTGTGTATGGACTAATGATAAATATGTGGCAACGAGCGTTTTGCCGTGTTAAATTAACAAAGTGACCATTTAAAATTCTATCAGTGAAGCTCGCTGCCTGTAGCACATATGTAGAATCAAAAGGAATTGCCTGTAATTTTAAAGCAAACACTTGCAAGATTATATTTTCAGTTTTAGATTCATAGAATGTTACAGCACAGAAGGAGGCCATTCAGCCCATCGAGTCTGTGTCGGAAAACTATTCTTTTACTTTATAGTTTCTTAAACTTTAGGAATTATAAAACAAATTTGTCAATAACTATATTAGCAAAACATAAAATCACTTTGAGCTGTGTTCGATGTGAAAGGCACTATACCAAATGTAAAGATTATTAAGGATTATTTTGGATTATTAGTCTGCAAAATATACAGAAAACTATCAGTAGGTACATTACATAATAACTGAAAAACCAAGATCTTGCAATATTCTTGAAACTTAACAAGTTTTCTTAAATACAGTACAGAGCAACATTTTTATGCCGGAGTAAACATACAATTATTAGAAATTATGAGCAATTGCATGCATCGCTGTAGACTCAAACACTGACCAGCTCCTCACCGCCATCCTGTGGTACAATCATGCTGAATGTTTCAAGCTATTTATGGAACAAGATGCAGTATGCTATCTGCCAAAGCAGACTCCAGGCTTTTGATTTTCTAGAGGAACCAACCAGATTTAGTTGGAACAGATCCTTCCTGCCATCTAATCCACCAACCCTGGATGGTCACTCATGGAACCATACCCCAGTTTGAATTCATACGTTTATGAAAGGAGTGCAAACAGGGGCTGTGGGGAGCCGGTGGGGATAAGGAAGGAAAGAAAAGGGAGTATATTTGCTTCATTGTGAATGCTTCAAATTGGTTACCTAAGTGAAGGTGCATTTCTTTTTTTAAATGCCTAAGAGAATAGTTAGCAAAGACCAATGTGAAATTTTATTTGATCATTTACAAAAACCCTCAGTTTAAAAAAATTAAATAGTTTAAAAAAATGCAATTGTTTTTAAAATCAGGGCAAAAAGCACAACTCTGCAAAATACTCAAACGTACAGCAAAGTTGTTGCCGTGAATCTATATCGTATTATCTTTCGAGGTGTGAAAGCAGAAGGCTAACATTTTAAAAAATATATGTGTTACAGGCAGCGAGCTTCACTTACAGAATCTTAATTGGTCACTTCATTAATTTAACCCGGCAAAACACTCGTTGCTACATATTTATTATTAGTACATACCATACACAACATACTGGGAAAAACACCAAAATGCTGTACTTTATATACTAATATGAATGAAGCCATGAGCATTTGCATTAGAAATCATTTTGTTTTACAAGTCAACAAAAATGCAATCCAAAGGATCCAACACCTCGAAAAGTACTAGTGCTGATTGTGCTCTTAAAGTTGGAGGTGAGGTATATGGCTGAGAAAGAAGAGAACATTTTCCATTTGCCCCAATGCTGTTCTTGGCCCATCTGCTCAGTTTTGGAAGTGCTGTAAAGTGTCTATTTTGTTTTAAATAAAAGTGACTATAAGGAATTTTTGCTGCTAATAAAAATATATTTTATAGATAAATTCATCCTGATGCTATTTTTCGCTTAAATATTAAACTGACTATGAGGCCACTATGTATGCCTTATGGCCCAATGAAAGTTATAGTGCACAGGTTCGCACTGACTGGGAACTAACATTAGATAGATTTTTTGTCTTATTAATATAGTCTGAAGTGACAATATTACCCATTTTTCAAAATCTCTTCCTCCCCAAAGAAAGATAATCGACTTGCTCCAAAACGCTTGTTGCAGGGAGGTGAGAAATCCTCCTTCTACTCCCTGGTTTAAAAAAAGTGCATTGCCTATCGTGAGGAATTTGACTTGGAAACTGGACAAAAGCCACTCCGTCATACTGGGAATTATACAGCATTGGGCCTAATCATTAACACTGGGAGTAGTACAGCAACGAGCAGAACATCTTAAATGATTATCAGAATTGCTTCATTTAAGTGATGACTTTCATCCCACGATTTGAAACTTGTTCCATGGTGAAAGGCTAGCATGCTAACCTATCCACGTACCAAGCTTGCACAACAAAATGTAGTGTTGAACACAGAGCTCCATAAGTCTGTAAAGAAAAAAACTTAATAAGGAAATAAAATTTTAGGCATACAATTATTGTAAACGTGAAGCCCTTGTTTAAACAAATATACCAGGATTTCAGTCCAATTAAGGAATACCTCTGTGACATTTCCTATATGTCAGCAATCATGTGCAAGTGCAGAGAGTGCACTTTACAACTAATGCCAGGTCCAAGTAATCTGAAAAGCAGACGGTTAGTGCAGGAGAGGAGCAAAGCTTAGCTGCTTCAATTCACCACTAGCAACAAAATCACTGATGCTGGAGCTTTTCCACATACTCGGACAGCATCAGGATATTGTTACCAGAAATGAACACTTGCTATAGCAACCCAGAGGATCCAACATCCATAAGTACTAACAGCTTTCCATTGCAGGTTTCAGGAACAGATGGCAAACTAATTATTTGGACATGAGGCACTTGGGTGGGTGATTGTTGAGTGTGTGAGGTGGGGGAGAAAGGAGGGAGTTGAAGTCTTAAGCGTGTTGTATTTCAACTTGGCACATACACTTCCAGTTTAAGAAAAACTGATCCATTAGTAAGGATATTTGCTCAATCTTGCTAGTACAAAGTAATCTATTGTACCAATGTCAAGTTCACACATACCAACAACAAATATTTTCAAAAGATTTATTAAATACTTTCAAAGCCATACATATTAAAAAGTAATCCGATAAAATGAGATATCTTCAAGGAAGTCATCGCTGACTGCTTTGAAATATAAAAAAACTAGAAAATCAATTGGTATCAGAGTTGCCTTTGGACTTCAGAGCTGTGGGAAATCAATCAATATGATCGGAGACCTTTGCTTCAGTACACTATAAAAAAAATCACTGTAAAATGATCCTTTACATCAAACTGTGTGCTCATCATGTTTTGGCAGTCATCAGCAAGTGAGAAAATAATTTATGTGAATTGTGTAATTCAATAGGCTGGTCTCAATCCAATTATGTTGAAGGCATCAAGTTAAATGAAGAGCAAACACTTCTTTGAAGTTCCAGGCAAAATATTCGTCAATGTAAGTTTTAACAGACAAGCATTTACTACATTGAAACATTCTGGTTCACACTACCTGGCCTTATTTTGCACTAATGACAGCTATCAATATCTCGTCTGACTGCAAGATCATGCTTACAGATCAAATACAAATATTAAGCCATCACTATTAAATGACACAAACTTTATTTTTGATGCAATGCTACACCACTACTGGAGTATGTAACCTGGGATGTGCAGTTAAAATAGACTTTATCGTAAAACTCAATAATTTGTATTTGTTAAAATAGAATTCCTTAAGTTACACTCCTTATTTCCTATTTATTTACATCAGCCACAATGAACTGTATGTGTGGTAATCCAGTTCTGTGTGCTTTTCACTTAGGTTATCATTCCAAGGAATATTAACAAAATTCTTCAATTTTCATCTCATTTTCAATTAAGCAGTCCCCCCCACCTGCTCAGCTGAAGACAGATACATGAAACTGTACAATACCATACATTTGTAGGTCAAATACAATGGTAGAAAAAATACAAAGCCAAGGCACCTAGATCCTGTTTGTAAAGTGCTGGAGTTATCGGCTATTTAACAAACCTTTTCTCTAAAAAGTGAGTAAAGATAATAATAATGAATATATTGCAGGTACTTCCAGATCAATAATGAACGGAAAGATATGTATTACTACAAAATATAGTAAACCAAATGCTGATTGATTATACTAGTTTTCTCAATACAGAGAAATAACATTAATTTATAACCTTTCCCCCATTAAACTGGTTCAAAACAAATGCACAAGTAAAACATACAAAATCTTACCCTGCTGAATAGAAACATACAGGTAGCACAATAAATCCTATGAATTGTGTTTCAAGGTTTAAGATAAATGAATTTGTTTAGCATATTCAAAACCTGGCAATTGGGTAATATGAAGACATTAAAAATTAGCACAACTTGGTGCATTATAATCTAATACTCGATGAAATGAACATAGGAACAGGAGGAGGCCATTCAGCCCTTCGAGCCTGTTCCACCAATTCCTAGATCATGGCTGATCTGTACCTCAATTAATCCTTTCAATTCCAATTTTCCCTTTCTCCCCATATCCCTAAATATCCTGACCTACCAAAAATCTATCAACCTCACTCTTGAAGATGTGGATGGATCCAGCACCCACATCCTTTTGGGGGAGAGAATTCCAGATTTCTACCACCCTTTGAGTAAAAAAAATGCATCCTGATTTCACTCTTAAATGGACTTAAATGAAAGAACCAAACCTGTGAAAAAAATCTTAATATTTAACAAGTTTAAAGGAATACGATGCCACAAGTTTTATTCAAGCAATTACACCAGTGAAAATATTTAACTTTATAGCTGACTAAAGGCAATTTGGTTGGATTGCGATACCTCAAACTCAGTGTCTGAGACTGGTACACTGACGGATACAACAGTGAATTTCTTGTGCCTTTTTCTGAACAGACTTTAACAAAGGAAGAATCAGGCTTTGGGAAGAAAGTAGGAATTACCCATTTGTAGTTCCTCAAACTATAGTGGACTCAAAATGCCAGCCAGGACATAAAACCACGCCAGCTGTCAACATTTATCTTAAAAAAGGTACTTTTAATGTTTAAGAGGTTGAGTGGCTCCATTGGTGGTAGAGACTTGGATTAACGATTCTGTTGTGGGAACGCCATGCTAAGGTACACAGATTGCTAGTCGGTTAATGGTCAAAGGAAGAAAACAAATGCAACAACTCTCACTGAGATTGTTGCGCTGTGGAGAGTGTTTTAGAAACATACCTGTGTACAAAGTTGTGCTTGTGTAGGTGAGCAAGCCCAGCAGCTATCTCGCATGCCATCCTCTGTAGCTGTAGCAGCTCTGAACCCCCATGGCTTGGGTCTTGTTGCTGACTCCGCAGATAGCCTTTGATGTCGCCCTGTGAAAGCGAAGCATTATAACAACCTTTAGTAATCACATTTCTACATTGAACAGCTCTCTGAAGCAGAACTGTTACACATCTGCTGTGTTTCTGAAGTTAGATGTTAAAATAACATCATGACCTCAACAAGGCTTCCATGACCTTTCACTTCTCCACCCAAAACAGTTGGCGAGACTTGCTGAGACTAAAGGCTGGACAAAAAAACACACTTTTTCAGCACCTCAGCTTGGACAGCAAGTAAAAACTGATTGAGAGGGCAACTGTATATAGGTTTTTTTTAAAAAAAACTTTCCTCCCAAGTGTCGTTCAGATAACTTTGTACAAGTGAATTAAATAAACACAATGGATTTACCAGAGGGCTAAGCTCTCTATTGAGATCCATTTTAATGTACAATTTAGAGCATCTAACATATGCTTTGATTTAGTCTAATTCAGCTCAGTCCAGTATGAAAAGAAATTCAAGAAACTCAGGCAACTTGCAGATGCGAAAAAGAGACTCATTTAAAACCTTATGGATGGCAAGTACTCACACCTGAATTTCATGCACACAGACTCAGACTCACACAAATAGATAGACAGACAGACACACACAGACAGACCATCTGACATTGTTCCCCAATTATCCGAACCTCTTGTATGGTGGATTCTAGCTAAATATGCGAACTGGTAGATTGGACCAACAGGGAAGCAAATAGAGAGAAAACAAATGGTTTGTAGACACAGTGATGATTCGCAAGATTGGATATATAGGAAGACACGGAAAATAAATTGAAATGTCAGGACAGATTGGTAGGAGAGATAAGAGCTACCATATATATCAGCAAAGCCTCAACCATTTGAAATGCAATTAAATAAATTAAACTATCTAAAAATGAACAAAGACCAGAGTTAACGTTGCTCATAAGTTAACCAGTTTAGCCATTCTGGATATTAATACAGCAATGTAAATCTCAAGTACATTTTTTTGCTAAAAACAAAGTGATCATTTGAGTTTGTACAACATATTTAACCTATCCCTTTGTTGTTGCATCCAATATATTTTTTATGGACATATTGCTCGTAAAAAGAAATCAAATTGGGTTACAAAACACTAAATCCATGACTTCAAAACTGGAACCAACCTTTGGTAAAAAAAACAATCTGAAACAGTACTAGCTTGGAAGGCATAATAGATGGCATGACCAATAGACGGCAGCACCAGGTAACAAATTTTAATATTTGAGTGGAATACAGTGCATCAGCATCAACAAAAGGCAAATGGGGGGGGGGGGGATTACCTTTGACAAGATTTTTTTAAAGTGACTACGGGGGAAAAAAAGTGGAAAGCAAATTTGATGGTCACGTCAACTGAAATTTGTAATTTAAAAAATGTGTGGTAGGGTAGAAGGTGATCTGCGTATCTAGATTCTCCTGTGTTTACTCAACAACAACTTGCACTTAGTTAGCGCCCTGCACGCAGGGTAGCGTTTAACAGTGGCGGAGCCTGATTCCAAGCCGGAGGGAGGTGGCCGTAAGCACAGTCGAAGGGGAAGTTTTCAGGCGGACCTGAAAGAGGGGAGAGAGGGGGCAACGCTCACCTCACAACTCTTGAAAACCCGGCTGACCGCTTGAAACTAGAGAAATAGTCACTAGTAGTTGTACACTTTTAGGTTTGATGGCACTTTTACTTGCAATGCTCTAACTATAATCACATTTGCCTATTTCACATCCTATCATGTGAATAATAATAATGCTTGCATTTGATGTAGCGCCTAAAATACAGCAAAAAAAAAACTGCCTTAATAGGCAAACGATTGCCAGGAATAGCTAATGCTCCACAGCAAAAACAAAGCCAAGATACTGCAGTCCAGCTCTTGGGTGAGATTTGATGCAGCCTCATGCAGATAAAATGAGCAAGGCACGGTCGAAGAGGTAGGCTTTTAGGTGGCTTTTGAAGACAGCTAGATGGAGAGGGGGAAAGATGGAGAGATTGGGAATCCATACCACTATTGTAGTAAGAATAATCCTCGCATTTGATATGGCGCCTTATCACGTCATTGAGACATCTCAAAACACTTTGTGCAATGGATGCTTAAAGCTTTCACAAACAAACCGCTCTTCTTTGAAGACCAAAAATTAATTACCATTTTGCAGGGTTAATATTTTGTGCTATATCTGAAGGAAAGTAGTTCACTTTTTTTTTTGCTTGTGACTGCAATAATCTTGTGTTATGGGGATTCTTGCATTCAAAACTGAAACTCACTCTAAGGTAAAGATTATATTGTGTTCTACCACCAGAAATCGGCAATATGCAAGCCCCACCAAATATCAAAAAGTTTGCCGATTTGTTTGATTTTTATTCTACTCCAAAGCAACTTTAAGCCAATGTTTTGTTAATGGCAGCATAGGTCATAAGTACATTGTACAGTTTGCCTTAGATGGCAGCACACAGCTGTTTAATTTTTTCCCGCTAAAATAAGAGAAGCTGACACTCAGCAAAACAGCAACTGGTGGACTGCAGTTTCCATCAAATGGGAAGGCTTACATATTTGTACAAAATGCATGGAGTCAGCGTTTCCCCTTTCAGAAGCACTCGTTTACAACTCTTATCCATCTTCTTGCCAAAAATATCACACATAGCAGTAATGGTGGCTGGATATCAAAGCATGTTTGTGTAAAAAGTCTTCCCGACGTATTTTCTGGTATGCACTTTAAAACATACTTACTTTTAACTCTGACAACAACTTAACATTTTTCATCGTATTAATGTATTCTGTTCAAAAAAAAACCTTGTCAAACTGAAACATCCAATAAACAGCTCATCTTCATGGTTCAGTAACCAAACGCAATTCAACACCAAATAAGTGCAACAATTCTTCCTCAGTAAAATTAAATTAAACAACTAAATTCATGCAATGCAATATGGTGTCCACAAATTTATGCTACAAATATTGTGCAATAAACAACAACTTACATTACATAGCACTCCTCACATAGAGCAAGCCACGTTAACTGTGAGATTTAGATTCGTCCTATCTGAACCAATAATATTACAATAACGACAACAACTTGCATTTATATCGCCGTTCACGTGTTGTAGCGTTCCAGAGTATCGGGGAGCAAAGGAACATGATAAATGACATAATACAGAAACACACTCAAAAGATACATAATTATGAATTTATCATCGTCTTACAAATCCATAGCATATTTCGATTTCCCAAAGAAGCTTAATGTGAAAATATTTCACACAAGTGTACATGGATTTTCAACATTTAAAGTTTCTGCTAAGCAAGTATGTTATGCATGCATTAGGGAATTAATCTTTCTCGGTCTTGAATATTTTAAATTATTTACCTTTTAATATTTTAAAAATGTTATATACTGCACTGTTTTGAAAGTCTCAAGCAAATTTCTTTTGTTGCATCATTTTACTACCCTGTGAGCTACCATCATTTTTAAACAAAAGAGCTAATGATCTTTAATACATCTGGTAACTTGTCATCATTCAGGATATGTTGTCTAATATACATTTTTTAAAAATCACTTTATTGGATCACAAAACATTTAAATGTATGGTAATATATTTACCTTCACACTAGTGCATTAAGAAAGATCAAATTTATTTGGTGTTTGAAATTAACGAGGTTTAATTTGTGCAACTAATAACTTCTGCCATACAACTGACAAAATATCAGTGTTCTTGTGTGAGACATTGAACTATTTTTGCCTTAGCTCAGTGCAGTCACAATTTTCAATGGAAGCAAGATGAGATGTGATAAGTAGAGGTTCAAGTAAACAAGAAATGAATGTCTGTCAAAAAATGTATTTAGTTTGAAGAAATCAAATTACCCATTAGCCAGGAATATTTCATGCTCTAAGAATTTGAAACTCCCTTAGAATCTTAATTGCCTGCAAGAGCAATACATCTATTTAAAGAGCTTGAAACATCATAACATTCAGTCCAACCAGAGGTCAAAGTCTGAACATTCACTCAGTCCATAATATGAATAATCAATTCATAAAAATCACAATAATCAATTAAAAAAATGTGACACTCAATAAAGCAACAGCATCATTGCTTTGCAGAAAAAATGAAGATCTGAGCAAAGGGCACATTATCTTCGGTGCTAAGGCACTTTACAGTTCTTAATTTGAGAAAGTCAGCATTTGCACATTCGCCCTATAAACAAAATGTTTCCTTTTACTATGCTCCGAGACACTATTCTGCCTGAAGAGTGCAATATAAATGCAAGTTATTTTTAAATATTCAAATCAAGGTCTTTGAATGCATGAAAAGGATGGAATTCTCAAAAAGCTTAAGATTATAGTAACCTTGTACAAATTACCAGCCCAGTCTTTCACACAATCTATTACAGTCACTCGGTGAAAGAATGCTGTAACTCTGTTTGGCATCCAGCAAAAAACAGGCAATTTATGTTTCTAGATTTAGTATGGTGCAAAGCTAAAAAACAGAACTCAAGTATATCTTGTACCATTGTTGGGGTCATGTGGCTGAGGGGTAAGTTACTTACAAGACACAACTGGAGTAACAACACAAGAGTCGCTAGATATAAACCTGGAATAAAAGGGTTTCAGTGAAGGGTTTCAGTACATTCAGAGGACGATCATGAGAATCCTGTTAATGTGGGAATTCTACAATTATCAACATTTTGGATAAATACACACCAGCAAAATGATTGCCATGGTAATCATTAGGAGGTTGTAACATAATCTCAGGATACAGACGACTATATACATCATCAGAAACCCCTCCAGTGTATATTGCAATGTTGTCACACACAGCTGTTACTCCACAACATGAATCATATATCAAATAATCCTTGGATAATCCTTAAATTAGTTCCATATCTAGTCAGCAGAGGGTGCACTTCAACAGTTGAAAGATACGATACACATTCAAAGTTTGTCAATTTTATTTTCTGCTTAATGATTTATACCCATGGTGAAACTTTACTAACGTTCAATAGTGTACTAGTTCTGTTCATTTATCATTTGTTTTAAAAATGGACTGCGTACAGAAATGTTAAAAAATGAATTGTTGCTTCTTGATATTAACTCACCCATGATTTCTAGAATGGTTTGTGACATTCATCATATCAGGGTTTATCGGTCACATTTGCAAACAGAAAAGACACCCAGCATTTGGGAAATTCCCCACCATTCAAACACTGCGCCTACACCATAATGGATTAATCTACATTTCTTCTGAAAATAACTAAGCTGCATTAAATGCCTCCTCAATGATCACACATTAATTCTCGTATATGATTTTACATTTTAAAAACAGGAACAATCAGAATAAAACCCGGAGTAGATGGGAGAGGAAAAAACAATGGGGATCCATTGCTCAACAAAATTATTATTAAGCAAGATGTTTTGCCAGGTACTGCTAGCTTCAGAGGCATTGGATACAAATTGATGAACTGCATGAATTGGCCTCTAATACACCCAGTACTCAGATTCCATCCATTTCAGCTACTTGTTATGATGGCTTTTTAAGCTCATCAAAATCCTGGTCACCAAACAAATTATACATATACCCGATAGCTGGTCTATGGAACGTAAGCATCCACATTTGCCTGTACATCTCAAAATCATATAATAAATATTTTTGTGGTCTATTATCTTTTCTCAAAACAAATCTGGTGCTTCAAGATGGATAAACTGAATTATTTGTACGCACTGTTTATATATATATAAACTCTTCTGTGGCCAGCACTAAAATAACTACCATAGATGACATGTATATCTGGGAGACTGTCAAACCCAGGAGAGCTTGCAAAATGCATCTGGCAAGCATTTCTTTGTAGTATGTTTCTGTACTGGTTTCTTAATTTTCGCAGGCCTTTCCGACTAGTAAATTTACCTCCACTTTTCCAAATAAATATTATCATCTGAAATTTTCTGAATGTGTATTTTTATATCAGCCATGTGTCACTGGCTTTAACCCACAAATTCTCATTGAACTAGTTGATTCCCCGTTGCTCTCCTCAGGTCTACAAACTTTGCAACAAATTTCTCAGGAACTTGTCAGATTACATTTTCCAGACCCAAACTTTCATTTTGTGTCTACACCACCAAATCAACAATACAACTTCAACCACCTGCTGCTTGCTGGTGCTTTCCTCTAAAGTCCTATTCAGTTCTTTACTGTAATGCTGCTCATCTAGTGCGGATGGAATTTTCAAATCTTCATGGTGGTACATAGCGTTCCTGATCTATTTGGTGCTTTAAAAATAAATAGTAAGATCCGAAATGATCACATTGCCAAAGAATTAGGATGCATGCATTTGCATTGGCAGGACAAGAATATGAGAAGTTAATCCAATTAGAAAGTAATCAGTAAAAGCTGAATACATATCCTCTATAAACAGATGCATAGCTTGAAGGCTGCAAAGAGTTCAAAATACAAAAATTAATTTGCAAATTATAAATGCAAAACAGGTCACTCAGAGAAAAAAGCATTTTCAATATGAAGTACACCACATATGATCATTAAGATAATTGCTTAATACACACTTGTAAGGGATTATTTACAAAATTACTTTACTCTCAAAGCAACTCATCAAGAACTGCTATGTTGGGACTTCTGACTGGAAGACATTAGTGAGCTCCATTTCCAGTCAAAGACTTGGGAGGACAGCTAGGATAAATATTGAGCAGTGGAAAGGATTCACTGCAATTTTTGTCAAAGGCTTAGTACTGGCTACAAGGCAGTGCATCTTTGTTGCTGTTAACTTATTTGTGCTTTATGGGGAGAAGGGTACCTTCTTTAAGAGTGTCATGTTATACTAAATTCTGGACAATGGCCTTGAAAATTAATCTCACCAACAGCTGACTGTTTACTTACCAGCTGACAGAACTCAAAGACCAACAGGTAAGGGACCGTGTCAACACACTGTCCCAGGCAGTGGAGAACATTTGGATGCTGCAAAATTCTAAAATTAGAAACAAAAAAAACATGAAGACTCACACTTTAAGGGCACAGAATGATTTGGTATAAAACACTTCTACAACTTAATGTAATTGTTCACAGTTAATTATTCCAAATAAACACAATAAAATGGTTCTAAGACTGATTCATCTAAAAAGACCAGGCTGTTGCAGAAGACTTCAGATGGAAAGAAAAAAGATGTAAAACATACATTGTTTAAGTAAGTAGTTTCAAATTGGTATTACATAGCACACAACAGTTTACTAAAATCCAAGTGATGTGGAATGCTGACACATGATCTTAATTTTGTGCACATGCAAACAAAATTAAGGTATTTAAAAAGAATATGGACACTTAAGTGTTAAGGGTTACAGAGAAAGGGCAAGGAAATGGGAGGAGACTGAAAATACAAGAGCTGTCATATTCTAATAATAAAATGGCAATACATGGGCAAATATTCCAACGATTTCAGAGGAAAGCAAAAGTTGGTGATCGGAAATAAACACAAGTATGATCGACAAATAATAATGCTTAGCTAGGAACGACTAAAACATATCAAAATAAAGTGTTACAATATGTTCACTCTTAAAGAATTAAGCAATTCCTGCGGGACAGAGGGGCAAAAAAAATTCACTATTTCTTCTCAGGTTTTAATAAAATTCTGTATGTGAAGGAGTTAAAGGTACTTGACATTCAGAATACAACACATGCACAAATTAAATCAGCTTTGCACAGAACTTCTGCAAAAGCATTTTAACACATTCTACCCAAGCATTATTAACACACCCAAATTCCAAAAGGAGCATAGATTAATTAAATTGCACTGATTTATTGGTCTAATGCTAGAGGTTAATATACAGTAGGATTAATTTGTTACATTATTCAGTGAGGCATCTATAAAAATATAAAATTTGATGCAGCATTTTTAAATCTAAATTAATGTTTAGATAGACAAAATAAACACTGCCACTCGACAAGCTTTCAACGCAGAACTTTATGGCACAGGAAACTTAAAACCTCACATTTTAAGTTATGTACCCACTCTATACCGCTTGGCTTCATGCCCTCTCTGCCGGCCTTGAAACCCCTCTTCTAAATCTGACTGCCTTTGGACAAAACCCTTAAACTCTCCCTCCCCCCTCCTCCTGCTCAGTGATCCCCATCATTGCTGTGCGAGTTGTTCACCTTTCATGAAAGGGAAGCGCAAACTGTTGATCCCAGAAAGCAATTAATCAGCTCTTTAAATCAGCCATGTGTAATTGCATTTCATTATAGTTTAACCAAGCCTAAATAGCATTGCACACCAAATCTGCAAGGTTTCATTACTGAATAAAATCCATGAAATGGAGTTGGAAAAACATAAAAAAATGTAAAATTATAAACCTAGTTATTTTGGTAGACATTATATTTTCTATTCAGTTAGAAAAAATGCAGACTAACCTATACGGTTCTCCATTTTTAAGAAAGTGTTGTTGTTCCTTTGCACTTGCATTAACCTTCAGTTCTTTTATAATCACCCTTACTAGATTGGAATCCTTGTAGATCTCCCCGAGAAGAACCTGTCAGAAACATGCAGGATAGCAGATTATATACTTTTGTATCTTCCTGCTGAAGAAAGAAATGATTTCCCATGAACACTCTGATAGCACAAAATGTGGAAAAGGACAAGGACACAGAGGCAGGTGACAGAGGATGTTTTTACATTTGCTTGCCAACTCTACGTTATACAGATTCCATCAAGCTTCCATCCTCAGGAAGGGACGGCAATAGGAAATAGATGTAAATCTGGAAAACTGTAGTATAAACTTGTCTTACTGGGAACAAACCCTCCAAATTACAACATTAATGATGCATTTCAGATGAAAATCAAGACATGCAATATCTAATTGGGAATTACAATTAATTCATAAAGGTAAATTGTTTTAACCCTGCAATTTTAAACTAATAATTACATTAAAGGATGAATTACCAAAAGCCTCATGGATTGTTATTGTCTCATTATTATACAGCAAAGTCTCTGCATAATATATCTCCTACTACTACTCCAGATTATTCTCTCTCAGAAAATAATAGCAATATCTTGGACAAAACAAGCTGCTAGGAGATGCACACTTAGTGGGTCAATAGCAATGGAAAGATTGTTTTTTCCCTCAATGGAAATCAGTTGTTAACTATGAATCAGTATTCATTATTTAGCAAATAGCAAAAAGCAATGTTTCATTTGTTTGGGTATAGCTGAGTTTGGTTTAATAGAACACATAAAGTCTGACCAGGACTCAATAATCCTGCTCACAATTCCAATGGAGAAACCACGGTTTAACTTTACAAATTAAAGTATAGAATAAATGGAATTTAACAGGATTAATCTGAGATTTAAAATATTTTCTTTAGAATTTAATTTTCAATAGTTAATTCAAAATACCATTTTACTTACAGTTGTTCCTAATATTTTTGCTAGGAGATGCACACTTAGTGGGTCAACAGCAAAGACTAAATGTAGTAGTATTGAGTAGTTGTCCACTAGAATCTATATAGAATGAACATCTTTGATTTATGAAAGAAACACTTACCTTGCCAAATGATCCGTGTCCAATTTCCTGGATATAACTAAGATGCTGACGTGAAATTGGTGCTGAGGCCACACGTGCAAACCCAACAGAGATGGAATTTATAAAAACAAAACAGGAAAATTTTCAGTCAGAACAGCTTTATTTTTCAGTAAGATTTTAGAATCTCCAGTTTGCAATGAATCAAACTGAACAACAGTCATGAGCTGTGGTAGGGGAGGGAAGAAAGAGAGAGGATTGTGTAGGGTCAATATTGACCACGTTCCTGAGACCAGAAACAAAAATATCTCAATAAAACAAAAAAAGGTTTATAAACCAAATATTTATAACCAAAGAGAGCAGAGAATTTAAACCACTGCAGCATCCTACATAAAAGGTTAAAAATTGAATATGTAAAGTTACAACCTTATATTAATTTTAAAGCAGATGTCAGCACTGAAGATTTGGGTTACTTATAATTTGTATTCGCTTGAAAGGCAAGAATATATACATATAAAAAAGTAACAAAATCAAAGCATTTTAGGATGTTATCAATGTTAGTAGAATTGTTTCTAACACCACAAACACAAAAACAATCAGGAATTTTATGCAATCAAAGATTCTTTGTCTTTCAACACAAGTACATGCATCCTATTTACTCAAAAGGAAGCCCCCAAATGACAATAACATAAGTAGGATGTTTACAGTGAAACCGTGCCAAAGGTCAGGACATCCAGCATCGTCACAACAAAGGGTTTCAGATCAGAAACAGGAAATTCACTATCATGTAGATACTAAAGGAAAAACAGAACATCTGTCCAAACCAAATTATAACATGCCTGTTTACACTGCAACAGACCTGTTTAATTAGCACAACGTGCAACTTTAAACATCACGACAAGATTCTGTATTGGATACAAAATCTATCATCTTCTCCCACCCCATCTTGTCAAAGGATGATGTTAACCCAGTTATCAGCACAAAACAGGTTTAAACAAAACTGCCTACGGGAAACTGCACATCCCTTTTTTAATCATATTATCTCTATCAAGTTCCAACAGTCCCAAAATAAACAGCCAAAATAAAAGCACCACGATACTTTTATTGTATGCACTTTTACAAGAACAAATGCAACGTTTTGCAGTGAAGCTTATTTATTGTACAACCATGCAGGATACCTGCCGACTAACCGGACAACTCACAGAATAAAGTCACAGAATAAAATATATTTTTTAAAAAACTTATTTTATTTATTTTAAAGCTAAATATAAGGATTAGCAGTTAGCCGGGAAATCCAACTTGCCAGACTGGCTCTCCACCTATTAGTCTGGTTAGCCAGGGGTTGAGGAGAATAATAGGACATTCTCATTCATTCATATTTTACATTATGATTACCATCATAATAATAATAGTAATAATAATTCTTGCATTTGATACCGCTTTTTACGTCTTCTAGACATCGCAAAGCGCTTCACAGAATATACTGTAAAGTGAATTGATTGTATATATTTGTGGGTGAAACGCAGCAGCCAATTGCGCACAGCAGGGTCCCACAAACTGTCGTGGATTGAAGTGACCAATTTATTATATTTTTTGTTCTTGATTATTATCAGGCATGTGGAGTAAGGAAACTTGCTTAAGGTTTTGCCCTGCCGAGAATCAAACCCAGGTCTCTAACTTGCGAGACGAATTCTCTAACCACTGAGCTACAGGACTCATCTTTGATATAGAGGCTTATAGCGTTGTCAAAAAGGCTCAAGGCTCTTCACAGGATTTACTGTAAATTGCAGCGAATATTTATAGATGAGTGTGGCAGCCAGATTGCGCACAGCAATATCCCACAGTCATGAACTGAACACTGGGACCAAACTCCTTTGTCTTTTTGACAAGTGCATTAATACCTTTATCATCGGCCCCAAAAGGCAGACAGGACTTGGTTTAACATCTTATCCAAAGGACTTCTGACAATGCAGCATTCTCCCAGCACTGTACTAGTGTCAGACAAGATTCCCTAGAAGGGATGTTTACGGTGTCTTGGCCAATAATACCCAATATTAAACATTTATCAGACACTTAGGGGACTTTGTTGTATGAAAACTGGCTGCTGTGATCACCTACAAAGACAGTGAATGCACTCTACACTATATCTTTGGAAGTGCTTTGAGACATTTTGACAATGTGACAATGTGATAAGCTGTTATATCAAGTGCAAGGATTATTATTTAGAGAGTCAAAGTCCCAGGTTGAACCTACAACTTTCTGACTCAGTGGAAAGAGTGCTACGAACTTGGCCAGGTCAACAAAGTGAAACTGCAACCTTATATGCACTTCAGCATTCAAATTCTCAAGATGTTTCCTTTCAAAAATTTAATAAGATATTCTTGATAAATCTTGACAAACACTCGTCTACCCACATCTCACCAGTTCTGGCCAGGCTCCACTGGCTCCTCATCACTAAACGGATCGACTTCAAGATCGTCACACTTGTATTCAAATCCTTACACTCCCTGGCACCTTCCTACTTCTCCGACTTCCTCACTCCCCAATCCACTAACCGGCCCCTCCGCTCGACTGACATCGGCCTCCTGCTCGTCCCTCGCACGCGCGCCCCACCACTGGAGGTCGCACTTTCAGCCACTATGCCCCAAAACTCTGGAACGCTCTCCATCTGTCCCTCCACCTTGCCCTCCTCTCTCCCCTTCCAGGTCCCGCCTGAAAACCTTCCTCTTCGACCCCCTCCCACCCACCCACTCCCCACCCGGCTCGGTTTCAGGCTCTGCCACTCTTAAGCGCTCTGAGATGCTATCTTGAGTGGTTGTTATAATCTGGTTCAACAAATTTTGAAAGACTTCAGAAAAATCCTTTATAAAACTACTCTAAAATGACACTGATGCTTTAGATGTTATTGACATTACATTGCAGAGGTTCTGTTCTAAAGCACATATCAAAATGACAGTATTAATTTTGAATATTACATGAATTGAGGTTTAGAGCACATCATTTTGTGAAACAACGCATGCTGATAGAAATTATTTTAGCAGTAGTTCATTAGATTCAATTGGTTTTAAAAAAATGAATATTTACCAAATTGTAAAAGCAAACCCTCCTTATTTCATTATTCATTCATTTCCAACAAACCAATAAATTACAGGGCACTGACTTCAATACCAAGAAAACTGGCATTAGCCCATTTAATGAGTGCGAAGGTATAAGGGCTTCTACCAAAAGATGTAGAATAGTTGATACCTTGCATTTTGACTGACTGCAGTTGCGTTGGAGCAGGCAATGCAACATTTGGAACAGCCAGTGTATATACTTCAGCAGGTGCATGAGGTGAAGGAGTGTCTTCTGCAGGGGGTATGAAGTCATTTTCATCTTCAAAGTTATCATCTTCAAATTCCTGCAACAAACGATTTAAAAAGATCAGCCTCTGATGAGAAGGAAAATAATGAAAGGAGTTCCAACTCAATGAAAATGTACAGCAATTTTTGTCCATTCATTTATAAACACACAATATAGTGTTGAAATCAATTGCACACAACACAATATCAAAAATAATACAAAAAAAATTGCCCAACACTTCACTGTTAGTCAGCTGAATAGAATAATAAAATATGCATTAGCACTCATTTTAGAAAGAAAGAAATCTTTTGATGGATAAAATGTTCACAATGATTTGCTGATATAAGTAGATGGGAATCTCAGTTGAATGAAAAACAGATCTTAACATTTTTTTTCTAAAGTCAACAACTCATCCAAAACATCATGCAGCAATCCTCTAAAGAAGTCATTTATAATCACTGTGCAAAACAAATTACATTTGAATTGATAGATTGACCGACTGTCTAAAAATAATCTTTCATGGAAACTGTTCACGGTTGAATGAAATGAAATAAAATGAAACCAGAAACTAAGTACATTTTATGGGCTCACCTTGAAATTTATTTCTGGGTCTTTACAGCAGGATACGCAATTCACAACCACGATGATCAGGGCGACTAAGCTACACACGCAAAGTATCAGAAGTGACGAGGAGAATTCACCAACATCTGCTTCCCCTGGAAAAACAGATTACAATTATTTTCCAACATCTGGATCAAACAGATCGGAAAAAAAATCATAATAATAAAACATGTATAATTCAAACAAGTTAATCTGCCTGATAGTCTAATGCTTTACACCGTGTAGAGCACAAATGTACAGAGATTCTATAAATTAGAATGGTTTTTAAAGGTGAATATGTGCTACCGAGGGAGGCAGATTGCACCAGCAAATTCAAGAGGGAATTGGATAGTTATTTGGCCATCTGAACTACATTTGCCTATTTATTCATCTGTGCAAGTTTGGAGTTAAACTATAAAAGTAGTAAGGTTCATTAGTTCATACTAAAAAATATTTAGCAAGGCCTCTCTAGCAAATTTCCCACTATATTAATGGAGTAGCATCACGCTCTGGAAGTCAAAACTAAATCACAGGTCATGTGTAAATAGAGATGCTCTATAACCAAACTGTCCAGTCCTCACTTAGTGCTAATCCTCTGGACTACTGCACAATTTCAACATCTTCAGTCCCTAAGCCCTGAAGCTTTGTGGCAATCCATGGCAGTCTTCATATCAGATGTGGACTTCACAATAAACATTAATTCTGTTAGAATTGGTCTAAAAGTTCATCTTTCCTATGTGAATATACCATTTAAATGATTCCAGTGACACAAACAGCTTTAAATACTGTATTCTGTGTACCATAAGATCAAAGGTGAGTTCATATCAACACATGGCCTGTCTCAAGGTAATTATCCAGGCATATCACTGTCAATACTGATATAATGTAAACATTGCAGCAGACCAATATTCCTAATGGTATGACTCATACTAAAAGCAAACATCAAATCGCAATTTTCTTTTAAAAGACCCCCAGGAACAAAAGGATGCATTCAGGTGGATCATTCTTTTAGATTGCAAATCGTACTTCATTTCCTCAAGGCTATATCTGTGCCCTGTACACAAAAGCAATATCAAGGTTTGCAATGAAGTGTACAAAGATGGATTCAGAACTGATCAAAGGATATTTACTGCTCTATTACTTGTGAAAATGCTCAACATTGATTATGCTGTAAGAAATACTTGAACATAAATGCAGAAAAAGAGAAGTATTAACTTGCATTAGCTGTTCATCCCAAGATATTTATAGGCTACCTTGTAAATTCTACCGCACTCAATATTATAGGATAGATTTAAAAGTATTCAAGCAAGACACTGGGGATGGGGAATAAAATGAAAAATAAATGGTCAATTTCCTTTCCCCCTCTCCTCCTTGGAAATTCAATGACCAAAGTAATCAACAAACATCTGACACATGCTCAGAAATCAACAACAACAAGATTCCATTTATAAAGCGCCTTTCACGTCAGGAGGACGTCCCAAGGCGCTGCACAGTTGGGTCATGACCCGAGCAGGGGGGAAATGGTCAGGGTGAGGGGAGGGATGGGAGGGAGCGAGAAGGGGGAAGAGAGTCGAGAGGGGAGCTGAAGGCACGGTCAAAGAGAAAGGTTTTGAGACCGGCCTTGAAGGAGGAAAGGGAGGAAGCGAAGGCGAAGGCACTGGGGGATAGAGTTCCAGAGCCTCGGGGCTGAGAGGCTGAAGGCCCGACCACCAATGGTAGGGCGATTGAGGCGGGGGACGTTGAGCAGACCGGAGCCGGAGGAACGGAGGGTACGGGCAGGTAGGTAGGGGGATAGTAGGTTGGAGAGGTAGGAGGGAGCAAGGCCGTGAATGGCCTTGTAGGTGAGTGTCAATTAAAAACATGACTTTATTCTCATCAAGAGGTTAATGTTGAAAGTGAAGCAATGGGAGAGGCACCTGCCTATGTATTCCTGGATTATGACCCACAGTTGATAGATATCAGAGCTTTGCACAAGGTCCAAACAGAACACTCATATAATGGAGGTTTCAATTCATAAATTTACAGAAATCCAAAGTCATCATAGAAATACAGTGCACATTTTCACAATCAACAATTGAACTCAAGATGGTTGAAATGTACAGCAAGACTTTGTATAACTTTAAATTATGCACTGAATAAAGAGTTCTCATTCCTCCAATATTTTTTCATCCTCAAAGTCAATTCACTTATTTTTCTACTGACCGGAAAATGGACGGGAGGGGAAGGAAATCAGTCGCCAAATTCATCCAGCAGTAATTTCCAGATAGCCATCAGCAATGGCAACCCTGGATAATTTTCTACTCTGAAGCACTTTGAGATGTCTTCCCAACACAAAAACCTCTGTATAAATATAAAGCTGACATTGAATTCCCTGACCCAGTGGCACGCCAAGCCCAATATCCAAACCTCAAATGCAACTTTGGCTGAAAGCAGCTAATTAAACACTAAATTAACTCACTAATTAAATCAGACTAAGATCCATATCTGCAACGTTGTAGTCTGTAAGGCAAAGTTAAACTCTGATGAGCACATAAAGATTCTCCACGTTCTCACTGCTTAATACACTAAATAGCAGCGATGTAATCAGTTTAATCAAGATGAAAATCACAGGTTCAGTGATTAAAAGACATATAATAAATTGGTCATTTTCAATCCACGACTGTTTGTGGGAAACTGCTGTGCGCAATTGGCTGCCAAATTTCGCCAACAAATATACGGTCAATTCACTTTACAGTGTGTTCTGTGAAGTGCTTTGGGACTCCCGACGTGAAAAGCGCTATATCAAATGCAAGGATTATTATTATATGTAAATTTTGTGATTTGAACCAAATTCAAAATATTTAGTTTGTTACTGAAGGAGCCACTTTGTGGGATCACCCAGATTCTTTTAGTTCAGCAACATTCATAATAATCCTTGCATTCATATCGTTGAGACGTCTCAGACTCAGGGTAAATCTGTTATAATGCCCCTCCGCCCCTTCCCCATTGCTTTGGTCTACTGTGGACTCCACTATCCGGAAGCATAGTTTACAACAACAACTTGCATTTGTATAGCACCCTTCAAGTGGGTAGTGTCTCGGAGCGCTCGTACCTGGTTTCTGGCATGGATTATCTAGCTTCCCATGCTTAAAATGTGGACCGCAACCGGGTCATTGGGTTGCTGGTGATGTCACTTTCTACCCACTGCATTAACATCACTAAATAATGGGATAAATATAAATAGATAGTCAGCTACATCAGCTGTATGTTAACTTCCAAGATAGCTCTGTAATCAAGTGCACAAACTTGGTAAGGAGTTCATCCTTACCACTTCAAATTAATTCCAGCCATCCAATATTATTTTCCATACATTTCCCTTCTCTGTCCCTAAAGGAGGAGTGTGTGAATTTTTTTTGTTTTTAAAAAGGGTGATAGTGTAAAGACCAGTTAAGACTGGTTGCATATCTATAATAATAATAATCCTTGCATTTGATATAGCGGTTTTCACGTCTTCTAGATATCTCAAAGTGCTTCACAGAATATACTGTAAAGTGAATTGACTGTATATTTGCGGGCGAACGCAGCAGCCATTTGCACACAGCAATGTCCCACAAACAGTCGTAGATTGAAAATGACCAATTTTTTTTATTATTGTTTTGTTTTTTTGGAGGGATTATTATTAGGCTCTGTGTGGAGAAAGGAAACTTGCCCAAGGTTTCGCCCTCTGCCTGGAATTGAACTCAGGTCTCTCACTTGTAAAACGAGTGCTCTAACCATTGAGCTACAGGACTCTCTGTCCTTCACCCCCTTTAAGATTCTGCCATCTAGCTTATATTGCCAATTGTTTTTATATTTACAATTATATTGTTAAATGTATTTCTGTTCCTATGAAAAATGGGTGGCAAATATTAAAGCTAGTGTTTGTTCTATGCTTTAATGAAGTGCTTTTACAACCGGGACTGGAAAAAAATGGTTGTAAAGGAGAACATTATATGTAGTGGCCAAACAAAGCTTTTATTTGTTATTATGCAGTTCTGAGAGTACTTCTTTTCATTTAACTTGTGAAAAAGCAGAATTTTTTAAAAAAACATTCATAACTTGTTTTTGTTGAATAACTGCACGAATGTTGTGGTACTGAGTCATACTGGCCAGAGAGAATTCTAGATTCAGTCTCTGGTCTGCACCCAGTTAAGTGATCTCAGCTGGTCTGTCATAACTTCCAACAGAAGCAATTTTAGGGAGTGGTGCACAATATGTTTCTCAGATGTCTTCCTCTTTTGGAGTGTATGTTTGAGCAGGATCCACCCAAAAGAATAATATTAATTAAGGTACTTGAAGTTAGCAGTATCAAACATATTTATCTGTTAAAATTTATCTGTTGAAGTGTTTTAAAATGCTTTGTGTTGCTAACATTCCTAAAACATTACAATGCATTACAATTGCAACAATATAAATATCAGAAGCACACCGAATGGAAGAAAAACAGCCCTAGAAAGTTACTCCCTTCAAGGATGGGTTTGGCAAATTACACTCCTGCAAAATATGCAAGGCTTCCCGTTCTTCACTTACAACACACATAGGCATTCAATGGCTAGTTTCGAAATATATTGTTTCAGAATTTAATATTGGGAGTCTAATAATAAGGCAGCATTGGGTGTAGTTTAACAAAGTTGATTTTTTTTATTCGTACTACCTTATGTCTATAGGCATGGTGTCACCACCCACCATCTTGTGAATCCCCAAAATGAGTCAAGTTTTCTGTGTAGTGTGAATATGGTATTTAGGTATGGAGTCCTGTAGCCTATTGATGAGAGCCCTTGTCTCGCAAACGAGAGGATCTGGGTTTGATTCCTGGGCGGAGCAAAATGTTAGTAAGTTTCATTGCTCTATGCCCCTCTGTTTACTAGAGGTAAGTAGGAACCCAGCTGTTAGTTGATGGGCGGATATATACAGTCAATTAATTTTACAGTATATTCTGTGATGTACTTTGAGATGTTTCGAAGACGTGGTAAGGCGCTATATCAAATATAAGGATTATTATTATAATTATTTTAGCTTCACACCACCTTACAAATAAACACAATTACAATTTACCAAGAAAAATCTAGAGTAGCAGCATGTCGAGGCACTTAACCTT